CCAATGGGAAAAAATCCAAATGAAGGGAAAAAGAGTACATCAGACGCCCCCAAGATGAAGCAAGAGATGATATCCTCGGCCTTTATTGCAATGATCGCCATCAATGAGTAGGATGGCTAGAACTGTTCTTCTCGTCAGGCTCAGACTTGTCAGGTTCGTCATTTGCTTCCTTGAAGACAGTAAGACCCTCAGTCCCCCACTTCATTCAGTTGTACCTACACATAAAAGAAACTAGTGTAGAATAGAGCATTTGGCCTGGTGTCGAACCACGGCTCAGTGTGTAAGTGAGTCGGACTCACTACTTGAAAAGAGTGACATCAAGTTCCCAAGTTAGGCCTCAACTCAGTCTCTGAAAGAAAGATTGAATCCGCGAGTAAGTGAGTCGGACTCCTCACTCGAACGGATAATCCAACCCCAAAGAACTAAAGTATATCAACCTTTTTCGAAAAATGTGAATGTCAATTAAGTGACAAAATTGCTCGGAAGAGCGTGACTCTAGGCCCCTAACAAGAGTTTAACTCGCCGCCCGAGGTTAGTAGTTCGAACCCGCAAGTAAAAACTTTTGAACGGGTGACTCGACCCCCGAGGTCGGAGTGTGATGCACTAGGAAGGGGTAAGAGCTCGCGAGAACTCGTATGAAGTCAAGAGTGTGCGGTATTAACATTTATATTGGAGCTTATTAATCGTCACACCCATATGACGTGAGCCGGTGGCGCGAGTGTGTGTGCTCAGCCAGTGTACGAGTAAGTGTGCTCGTCCGGCGTACTTGAGTGATCAGATTTCATTAGTCCGTTATTCAATGTTAAAATTAGACACACTTAACAAGAGTAAACACAATCATGTCACTTAAAATATCTTTTCAAATGTTTCAATCTATGATTTTTTTTTAAAAATCTTTTTGCTAAATAACCGTAGGAGAGATTTTTAGCACTTATCTTGTGGTCGAGTTCGCTCAAAATTTTTGAGACAAGATCATTAGATTGGTTGACCTCTACGACATCTCCTTGAGATGTGCTACTTTTTTTTTGACTGAAAGCTTTGTTAGGTGCTAGGAGAATGGGAATTGGAATAGGGATCCAGAGCAGTGCTGGCGTGATCTGAACAATGACTCTCCAGTGTTAGTGGCGAAATCAGGTGCAGCATTCGGTGCATTGTCGTCCTGGATGGTGAGCGCAACTTTCGTTCAATTGATATTCCAGATTCTTATGTTTTGTTCATCTTTTTTGAGATTTCGAGAACAATCTTTCTGGTGTTCTTTGTGATTCCTACTAAAGTGATCTGAGAGACAATAACATCTCTCAATGAAAACACCAATGTTGATCCAAAATAGGACGCTCGTGAGCTTTTAGGAAAGCTATGTACGACACTCAAGCAGGAAATCCAGAAAATAATGCAAATAAGGAAAGTTGAAAAGGGAATTTGGTAGCAAAAAATAGCATATAGATTTCTCTTCCAATAATCCGAATTAAAACCCGCTTTTTATAGGCGTATACAAAACGTAACAACTGCCGATAATAATGACTAATTAATTACAACATTCATATGGAATTAAATACATAATTAATAGTGCATTAATTGTTTGACCGTTACTCTTCCGGGCTGGGAGGTCGGCCGGACTGGCAGGCTCCCCGCTGGGCAAGCAGGGCAGGCTCCAAGTTGTGGACTTGGATCCACGGGTCAAAGTTCGGGGCTCGGACTGATTAGGCTCCGGGCCTAGTCCCATTACTCCATCACGAGTCCCCCAAACGTGATGTAGTAATGGGACTAGGCCCAGAGCTTAATCAGCCCAAGCCCCGAACTTGGACCCATGGATCCAAGTCCACAACCTAGAGCCTGCTTGCCAGCCTAGCGGGGAGCCTGCCAGTCCGGCCGACCTCCCAGCCCGGAAGAGTAACGGTGTTGAGCCGTAGGCCGCAGGTAAGCGGTGCCAGCAATCTGCCAGCCTGCCGGTGTAAAGGGGTTAAGAAGCGTGGCGCTTTGCTTATGCTATAAAGGGAAAGAAGCGTGCTACACTATCGGAAATTGCTTTTAGTGTAGCGGTAAGCGCAACGATCCACAAGTGGTATCAGAGCGTAGGTCACGAGTTCGACCCCCGGCGACAGCATGCTGCGCAGCTAAAGGCTGGCAGGTGCTGGAGGGAGATTGTTGGGCCGTAGGCCGCGGGTAAGCGGTGCCAGCAATCTGCCAGCCTGCCGGTGTAAAGGGGTAAGAAACGTGGCGCTTTGCTTGTGCTATAAAGGGAAAGAAGCGTGCTACACTATCCGCAATTGCTTTTAGTGTAGGGGTAAGCGCAACGATCCACAAACGGTCAAGCAATTAATGCGCTATTAATTATGTATTTAATTCCGTATTAATGTTGTAATTAATTAGTCATTATTATCGGTAACGGTTACGATTTGTATACGCCTATAAAAGGCGCGTTGTAATTCAGATTAGGGGAGACAAATTCTAGATGCTATTTGTGGCTACCAAATCCCCTTTGCAACTTTCCATGCATTCTCGTTCTTGCTTTCCTAATTCCTGCTTGAGTGTCGTACGTAGCTTTCCTAAAAGCCTACGAGCGTCCTATTTTGGACAAACATTGGTGCTTTCATTGAGAGCCTCTATTGTCTCTCACATTCACTCCAGTGGGAATTAACCAGATTTTTTTAAAAAAAGGAAAGTTTCAAGGTTTCTATGAGTTTTTCATGTCTGAAAAATCTGAAATAAGCATGATAAATTGGGTTTGGTAAAGCAATGTGGATCTGGATGTAGGCCAGCAACCAGCGTCCACAAGGAAGACCTCAAAAAAATGGAAGGTGGCTCTAAGAACTGTACTGGACGGCAACATAGCCCAGCTACGCCGACCCACCCCGTAACAGTGATGCTTGCCTCGCTACCGATCGCGCCGCAGCCGTGCCGATCGCCCTCACAGCTGGAGATTGGAGCTTGGGTCACGGTTACCTCCTCCATGGCCATGAACTCTTGTTACTGGAACTCAACCTCAATAATTTGCGATAAATGGCCGCCAGAAGCTACCAGAAGTAACGATGCAACCCATCAGAATCAACCCTCGCAGCAGCAGACCCAACGTCCTTGTTCGTACTTCGGTGACCTCCGACGACAAAGACCGGCCAGTTGTACGAGCCGGGGACGTCGGTACGCAAGGACCAGCAGGTTTGAGAGGGGAAAGAAACAGCGGCTTGTTCTTCGCCTCTCACTCCTCCGGCGATACCTGTGGCCGCGGCGCACCCCCTCTGGCCGAGTGTGGACTCCCTCTCGCCTCCATTCCCGACAACAGTAGATCGAAGGTTTGGTTGGCAGGCCAACTCAAGGGGTAAGTCGGGGAGCTAAATGCCTAGATGTGTTGCAACACGATGAAAAGAAAACAAATTTTGGGCCAAATGAGAGGAGTGGGCTGGATCCAGTTAAATTCAAACGCCGCCAGTCTCTAGCAACATTCACGTTGCCCTCCATACAGCTAAGTGGAATCAATTTATTAATACTCAAAACTAAGTTTGATTTATATTCACAAAAAAGCATAAATCTAGAACAATTGAAAAGAAAAAAATTAAGTGGTTTAATTGCTTTTACTATTGTTAAGTATGTGTAATTTTAACATTGAACAACGGACTTATGAAATCTAATTACTCAAGTACGCCGGACGAGCACACACACTCGTACACTGGCCGAGAACACACACTCGCGCCACTGGGTCACGTCATATGGGTGTGACGATTAATAAGCTCCAATGTAAATGTTAATACCGCACACTCTTGACTTCATACGAGTTCTTGCGTGCTCTTACCTCTTCCTAGTGCATCACACTCCGACCTCGGGTGACGAGTGACCCGTTCAAAAGTTTTTACTTGCGGGTTCGAACTACAAACCTCGGGCGGCGAGTTAAACTCTTGTTAGGGGCCTAGAGCCACGCTCTTCCGAGCGATTTTGTCACTTAATTAGCATTCACATTTCCCGAAAAAGGTTGATATACTTTAGTTTTTTTGGGTTGGATTATCCGTTCGAGTGGGGAGTCCGACTCACTTACTCGCGGATTCAATCTTTCTTTCGGAGACTGGGTTGAGGCTTAACTTGGGAACTTGATGTCACTCTTTTCAAGTAGTGAGTCCGACTCACTTACTCACTGAGCCGTGGTTCGACACCAGGCCAGATGCTCTATTCTACACTAGTTTCTTTTATGTGTAGGTACAACTGAATGGAGTGGGGGACTGAGGGTCTTACCGTCTCAAGGAAGCAAATGATGAATCTGACGAGTCTGAGCCCGACGAGTAGAACATTTCTAGCCATCCTATTTGTAGATGGCGACTATTGCAATAAAGGCTGAGGATCTCACATCTTGCTTCATTTTGGGGGCGTCAGATGTACTCTTTTTCCCTTCATTAGGATTTTTTCCCATTGAGTTTTTTCCTAATGAAGGTTTTTAATGATGCATCTCCCCACCATGGACAATGGCGAGGATCTTCTAGTCTCGGAGAAGAGCCAACTGACTTGGACTACTCCCTCTTAGCCGACTCTATTACTCGACTAAGGTAGTGGGGGACTCGTGATGGTGTAATGGGACTAGGTCCGGAGCCTAATCAGCCCAAACCCCGAACTTGGACCCGTAGATCCAAGTCCACAACCTGGAGCCTGCCTGCCAGCCCAGCGGGGAGCCTGCCAGTCCGGCCGACCTCCCAGCCCGGAAGAGTAACGGTCAAACAATTAATGCACTATTAATTATGTATTTAATTTCGTATGAATGTTGTAATTAATTAGTCATTATTATCGGTAGCGGCTACGTTTTGTATACGCCTATAAAAGGCGAGTTGTAATTCAGATTATAGGAAGCGAATTCTATATGCTATTTCTGGCTACCAAATTCCCTTTGCAACTTTCCATATATATTCGTACTTTGCTAAATTCCTGTTTGAGTTTTCTTACGTAGCTTTCCTAAAAGCCTACGAACGTCCTATTTTGGACCAACATGAAGATAAATTCGGACATTGGATTTGAGAATTGTA